GGGAAGCTGAGAAACAATTCGCTCTGCCCAGTGCTCTTACAGCCTACAGGGAACATCTCTTCCAAAGGCCTGTGAAACGCAATTTCTTTGCAGGCCTGATCTGGCTGAAGTAGGACTTCTGCTCTGGGTGTGCCACATTGCCCTAGAGCTGAAAGGCACAACGTGCAGTGTCCTATCCAAAGGGCGAGTTGGGCCGCAGAGCATCTTGCTTCCAGCTCTTTGGAAAGCTAAGAAACAACTCGCTCTGCATAGTGCTCTTACAGCCTACCAGGAACATCACTTACAAAGTCCTGTGAAACGCAGTTTCTTTGCAAGCCTGATCTGTCTGAAGTAGAACTTCTGCTCTGGGTGTGCCACATTGACCTAGAGCTCAAAGGCACAACGTGCAGGCTTCTTAACAAAGGGCGAGGTGGGATCCAGAGCATCTTGCTTCCAGCTCTTTGGGAAGCTAAGGAACAACTCGCTCTGCACAGCGCTCTTACAGCCTACCGGGAACATCTCTTACGAAGGCCTGTGAAACGCAGTTTCTTTGCAGTCCTGGTGTATCTGAAGTAGAATTCTGCTCCGGGTGTGCTACATAGCCCTAGAGCTGAAAGACACCTCGTGCATTCTCCTATCCAAAGGGCGAGTTGGTCCCCACAGCATCTTGCTTCCAGCTCTTTGGAAGCTGAGAAACAACTCGCTCTGCACAGTGCTCTTACAGCCTAGTGGGTACATCTCTTCCAAAGGCCTGTTAAACGCAGCTTCTTTGCAGGCCTGATCTGGCTGAAGTAGGACTTCTGCTCTGGGTGTGCTACATTGCCCTAGAGCTGAAAGGCACAACGTGCAGGCTTCTTTGCACAGGGCGAGTTGGGCCCCACAGCATCTGGCTTCCAGCTCTTTGGGAAGCTAAGAAACAACTCGCTCTGCACAGTGCTCTTACAGCCTACCGGGAACATCTCTTCCAAAGGCCTGTGAAACGCAGTTTCTTTGCAGGCCTGATCAGGCTGAAATAGGACTTCTGCTCTGGGTGTGCTACTTTGCCCTAGAGCTGAAAGGCACAACGTGCAGGCTTCTTTGCACAGGGCGTGTTGGGCCCCACAGCATCTGGCTTCCAGCTCTTTGGGAAGCTAAGAAACAACTCGCTTTGCACAGTGCTCTTACAGCCTACCGGGAACATCTCTTCCAAAGGCCTGTGAAACGCAGTTTCTTTGCAGGCCTGATCTGGATGAAG